TATATATATATATATATATATATATATCCCATATGGAAATTTTTGTCGAAAAATTTGGAGCCGTTTTTAAGAAATTGTAGATTAGGCGTTGGTGTAAATAAAGAAATCGCTGTAACTGTGCATATTAACGGTGTGAGAGGTATTTCAAGAAAATTACACTTGCGTAATTAAAAAAATTTAAAATACAGAAAAATGACTTTTGAAACATCTTAAATAGTGTATTTAGCACCAACCAAAACCAGCAGTTTTTGAGAAAATGGCGTTTGAGCGTTCCTGAAAATGTGGACATTTGAGCTCATTTTTACAGAACCATTTCGAGTTTTCGAGAACTTTATAAGACATCTTTGTAGATAAGGTTCTTATAAGACTTACTTTAACAAATTCAGTGAGTATACAAATCGTGCATAATGCAGGCAAAATATTAATCATGTGAAAGTGATATAAAAATGACATGTGTACTTTTTTAAACAATAGAGCAAAATGGCGTTAATATCACACAGTAGGTTTAACACTCACCATTCAAAAGTTTAAAGAAAAAAAATGGAGCAGTTTTGAGAAATCCTTGTTTTTGATAATTTTTTATATCGCACATATTTTACTCACTATTGCGCGGAAACTAGTAAACTTTTCCAGAAAATGTACATCATATTAATGAAAGAACTGCTTACGGAGAACTTTCATGTTAAGGAAAAATCTTAATCTTTTATTTTCTAATAGGAATAAGCCGTAAAAATTTCAAACTTTTGAAATTTCCAGAAATTTAGAGTTAACAGTGAAAAACTATGCTATCTTTATAAATGTATTTTATCCTATTCTTTCAAAAAATAAAGAAAAAATTTGGAGCCATTTTTGAGAAAATTTTGAAAACGTCCCTAGTCTTCTTGTAAAGTACCCGCAAATTTTAAAGAACGATTTTCAAAATCGCAAAGCTTCGAGTTGAGCCAGATCGACCAGGGAATAACAATTTTGGGAAAAATATGTATGGCTTAAGTGCTAGTGGTCTTCAGACAGACGGACGTTTTGAAAAACAACACTTTTTCAGTATCAGGGGACACCAAAACGTGTATTTCTATTGACATCTCAAAATCAATTTTCCGCAGGATTAGATAACTTTCTCTATACCACGTATATTACTCTGTTTACACGTACGTTGTAATGGGACGGTCGCACATATCAGATGGCGACGCGAATTATATATTTTATTTAATAAGGAATCGCGCCTTCGTAAAGAGCGGCCGGAAATGTGCCGTTTCCTGCATACCTGGGAGGGCCGCTAAGCGAACCGAGGGAAAGGAGGAATGCACCTCCTTTGTTCAGCGCAACCCACGCCGGACGCACCCCTCGTGACGTATGGGGAAATACGCCTCCCGCACCCCCAAACCGAGTAACGGAATTACCCGCGCCTAGTTCTTAGAATTTACGTGACGGAGGTTACTTCGGGGAAAGTTGCCGGGGGCGCAGCTTTGCCACTGGCGCCGTGATATGCGGAGGATCCACGGGTGGCGCGACGACCAATTGCGATATACGACGCGAGGGAAGAATCACGTGAGACGCGAGCTCTTCCCGAGGGATCGCCGACAGGTGAATCGATCACTTTGTGTCGGAGGTAGCGAGGAGGCCACTTTTTTCGGAGACAGCAGGGAGGCGACTTGTTTTTGAGCCAGCGGGGAGAACAGTTGTTTTGAAGGCAGCGGGGAGTGCACTTGTTACTTTGATTCGGAGCCGGGACTATCCGTGCCTGGTCGCCCCGAATGCCACGCCGCCTCGCCCACATCGCAGCCCGTCTCGCGTGACGGAAGCCGAACGATGGGACGGGACACCACGTGTGAGTGCCTGACCGCAAGGGTCATGTGAGTACGAGCCGGGGCGTGAAAGACAATATCACGAAGCGACCCGTCATCGCGTCAACATTACGTAGATCTACCTTTAAGAAGTCACATCAAGCGACTTTAAACTGTATTATAAAAAGCAGAAAAGTGGAGAATATGGTTGCTATAATATCTTTCTAGGACGGAACGCATTATCAGATTACTTCGAATAATGGTTTCCAGAGTCGTTAATCTCGCAAGGGGAATTGCTTTCTGTTTCAGATAAAAGATTATTATTTCAATATATTTTAATGATACGTGTTCGTTTCTCCCATTTTACATAATTTCCTTGCTTTGCTAACTTGTTCTTCCCTTCTGAGGGAATTGGTTAAGATCCACAAACGTGCGCGCTCTTTCGCCAATCCCTTCATCAGACGGCCCTGCTGTAATGTTTCTAGAACAGAGCAGTCGCCAAGAGCAACTTGCCTGCGCGCGTCTCCACGAGTCCAATTCTTTAAATACGGTGAGGACTACGGCTACGTTGCGGACTTGTCCAGTTAGCTGATCTCATATAAACAATGCTTCAGCCGGATTCGTTTGGGTCCAATATTTTCTTCCGGCTTATTCAGGTTTAACAAAAAATTGCCCATTCAGAAAAAACAATCGTTTAAGGATGGCATTAGTAGAATCAGGAGGTACGATATGTCAGTGCTGCAAAACTACGGTGTAGGTATTATTTTATTTAACAACTACATTCTAAACAAAATAAGTCCCTGGGAAGGCAAAGAAAATGTCATACATAAACGCAACATCAAGACCAAGGAGGCCCTACACTTAACTTTTTCTACACTTTAAATTTATTTATCAAATCATTGACGGAAGTGCTTATTTGTTCGTGTTTTTCATTTAGTAAATTTTTCCATCAAGAGTTGCCGCCTGACATCTTCCACATTTAACACAACACTCGCAGTACGTGGAAGTGAAAAACGTTTGGAACCATTTAAACCACATTACAAGAACGCATAGCACTCTTCCCTTCAACCTCCTTGTGAAGGGCACAGCTAGTTCGATTTATTTGTACAAATAAAACGGTGTCTTTCACAGAAGTGTAGCTAGGTTCTAAGAGACCCCGGTGCAAACAGTCTACAATGGTCTTATAAATGCGATTGGCAAACACACAATCTGGAGATTAAAATATAATTTATGTACGTATGCATTGCACTATAAATGAGATTTAAACAATCAACGAAGTTGCTCATATATTCATTCTATATTGGGCGGTGGACCTCAGACAAGTCGCTGTTGACTGTCAAGTGCTTGAACACAAACGACGTAGCGGACGCCATTTTTTCAAGCCTGTATACTAGTACAGTAATCTAGCACGAGTTCGTGCTGACAGGGGACCGTGTTTTCCTGCGCCTTCTCTGGGTAGAAATAATGATTTTCTTCTATTTTACCTTTCTCGGTCTTACGTACGTAAGAAGAGACAGTACTGTAATCGTGCGCCGGAAAACGGCGAATTTTCTACACAAATCTCTTACTACCGGGCCTTGGTAACGAAAAAACGGATAAATCTTGTTCCTAGCACTAAATTATTTCCTCTAACACATTGTGTAATCAGAATCGCTGTTTTGTTGGTCCTTGACACCGAAAAATCGTTTGACGTTAAAACGTCTTGTCTGTCCTTCTATGCCCAACACTAGCGCCTAAACCATATTATAATTTTGGGGCGAACTTTACATGAAGCACCTGGGACTTTTTAAACAAGTGGGTCCATACTTATGTTTAAAAGAATAGAGCAGGTCTCAGTTTCGTTGAACTCTCCATATTTTCAAAAATTGTAAAAACTTAACATTTGAAAACCACAAATTGAAGATACAGATTTTTGACTGAAACAAAATGTTCTAAAGAAACAGCTCATTAAAAGAGTTCCTGTACAATTCTTTGAAAAAACTAGTAATTCTTGCGTTAATTCTGCTTGAACTTCACGAAATATATTATAGGCTTCCCACCAACTATCAGTCATGAGAAAAATTCTCAGAGAACAGGAATAGATCAATGAAAAATAAATATAATTTTAATTATAATTTACTATAGAAAATCCCAATAATCATAATTCAATTGTTATTTTATTCTAAAATTTGTATTCTCAATGTATTGATATGTTTTCTTTCAACCAATCCCCAAGCCTTAATTGAAATTAGCCCGATTAGGTTTTCTTTTTTAAAAATTCGAATGAAAAGTAATATGAAAGAAAAATTGATACAATCGAGCATGATAATTTTGTACAAACTTTTATTACGATAATTTGATATAATCCCAACACAGCATTGTCATTCAATACTGCAATATGACAGTTTAAGAAGATATTCCAAGAAGTTCATTGTTGGACGGTTACATAGACAAGACAGAAATAAGACAAGTCAAAAATATATATTGGCATTATTCCTATTCCCAAAAGGTTACTTACTTTAGGAGGAAATCCCATTTCCAGTATGTTTGTGATGCACGTCTTCCACATGTTAAACATCTCTACTCAGATTAGTCTCACCACACCTTTCATCTTAAGATTCAGTAGTTAGCCTCCCCAAGAAAAGAGGAACTCGAAACTCATTATTAGGAAACATGCCTATGCCACAATTGCTCCTACAAAAGGGCCTTGTACTATCAATAGTCAACACGGATTCCACATGGATTGGGCTTTCAGAGTTTGCAAAGGAATTATTCAGCCAAGGATCACATTTCTCAGATTTTACTCCTAGTACTAAGAAATAAATATGACTGCAAGCTACTCTCACTGTAAATAAAACTTCAAACTGCAAGCTCCTCTCATTAAAAGTAAAGCTTTGCAACACATGAACATCATCAAAATTCATTCATTACGTCACTGGTGCTTATACTCAAAACATTTCTTTTATCATTTGTAATTAAGTTAAGAATACAACACACAGGTAAAATTAGGAAAGAAAAGGTTTTGTAATTCTTCTAAAGTTCAGAAAAAATCAGAAAGTGGTTGACAGTTTGATGTGGAGATAGTGTTGCTGATTACAAATTCTACATTATGATTTAGTTACCTTGTTATGATATAGCTACTTAGCTAAAATATATGTAACTAACAGTAACAACAAACCTAACAGCACACACTACTCAAAGAACCCATTTTAACACAATTAACCTCTCTCAACACAAAGACAGCAGATTAACTACAACATTCAGATCATGCCATACATTTGCTTCCTAATTTACAATGATGCTTCTGATTTGCTGTTGCTTAGGGCATGGCACTGCCATTTCTGGTTGTCAAACGAAATATCAACCACCTTCTAATTTTATTCCTAGAACATTAATGATTATCAATATAAATAAAATAGTTTTTTTGGATAATATATTCTCTCAGTATATAAAGCGAATATACAAGAACAATTATATAGACTACAAGTGGACTCAGGTCCCAGAAGAACCAGCATTCGGACTCACTGCAGTGGTACATTCTCCTCTGAATGCTTTTCACTAAAACTGCTGAGATAATGGATGCGTTTGTTTACTAGTTAAGCGTCAGTGGATAAATGAGTTACAAACAATGAGTATTTTAGCCTAGAAGGCAAGTTTTGGGGGAAACAAATATGACTACATTGAAATAAAAGGACAGCTGAACCTTGTTTATCTGGATTTGCCAATTTAGGTGATAGACTTTCTTGAATCTTCATCTGAGATTACTTCGTAAGGCAGAAGTGTTCTGTTTTTTCTCTAATCAAAATATTATTAGTTCAGTTTTAAAACTGAAACACATGTAGTTTAATAAAATGTTATAGGCTTACAGACTGCCTAAAATAAAATCATAAAACTAATAATTTCAACACATTCAAAAGATTCAAGTCCATCCTATATTGGTGGCAAACCGTAAGTGTATTTACATACATTAGTTGACATCTATTATTTTAAATTGCATTGTTACTGGCAGTTCTTTATACTATTAAATTCTCCGAATAAACAAGGTGTTACTGTTGAATGAAAAATAAATATTGTTTTTTAAAACTACATTGGAAGTTGATCAACTGTTTGTACAAAAAGTTGATGTTAATAGAATAAAATAAAGAATATATTGATAAAAAATCATGATTTGTCTAAATACATTATAAAATTATTTCATTTAGAAATGAATGCAAATTTAGATCTCCAAACCACATCGTTCTTGTCTCATCTTTTAAATCTAAATCACTCAAAACATGATTTTCTTTTCAGGTGAATAAATTTTCAAGAGCAGAACAACTGCTTTCCCAAAAAGCGTGGCTGTTTTTGTGACCTGATTGGCAAAGTCATTGTATCAAACAGTGGTGTTTGATTCAAAGGCAACATTGTTTGGCATGTTTCTCTAAATAAGGGGATTGTAGCAGATTTAAGTAGCAGGCACACACAGTCCTCATCACCACATCATTTGGAAACAATCATACTCTCAATGCCTCTGCTTTCAGAAGCAGGGACAACACATTTACCAATAAAGAAATATTTCATTTAAAAATATCTTACAGTCAAAGCATCACATAAATGCTGTGATAAAATGACAGTTTTGGCAAAAAGGTCACTCCAACAGCCATGTGCTCATTGAAATTTAGTATAAATATAACAAGATCTCGTCTTCTCTTGACTTACCATGAATAGAAAAGCAATGTACTTTAGAATGATGGTCTTTTTGTGCACACACGTACACTGAACGTTCTCACTATCACACATGCATCCATGTACCAAATGCCCAATGTACATGCGTGCAGCTATTCCTACTATATATGTATATATACATATATAAATATAATGTGCATGTATTTTTATGTGCTCTCTTTCTCTCTATGAATAACAAAGACAGTGAAATTCTTGTACATAAGTTGTACTTCATAAAAATGGGTTACTGGACCGACCAGTAGGAGCAGGACTAGCACCGAGCTGCAACAATAAACATTTCTCAAAGAATATAATAGACTGAAAAAAGATAGTACAGTTAATTCTTAAATGATATAAATATCAAAAACCAAAAAACACTGCAATAAAAGGCAGAAACTTCAAATTTTCCCATTGGAAAAGAATTTTCTTATTTAATTCTTGGTTGACAAAGAGGCACTCACCACAAATGGATTTCCCACAGAGTTGTGCCACACTTTGGCAGGGAAGTTCATGGACTGACTAGTGGGAAAGACTGCTCCCATGCCTGAGAGAATAGCTCCATTTGGCACTACTTCGGGACCAACTGCTCCCCAACCGCAACTTGCATCTGATAAACACATCATAAAACACACATAAGAGTACACTAAGCATTGAAGTATTTTTCTTAGCCACTATTTCTTACATATCACTCTTGCACAGGGATAGTTCCAGATTCAGCTTTTGGTTTCTTCTTCTTTGTGCACAGTTTTATAATACACATAGGTAAGCAGGGTCCATTAGATACTACACTGTTATAGATGCATAACATTGTTTTATACTTTAACTTTTGCATAGCCTTCTTTTCACTTTAGGAAAGCTATATTAAGATATAAAAATGGAGACTAAAATTTAGATTTTCTATTTTTATCCAGACAGCTCAAGACTTGCATTTTTTACAAGTTTATTTGATAAGATTGATACAACAATGCTTTCAAGTGCAATTTGTGGATATTCTGCTTCAATATATCTGATTTCTGAGATATTGGTATCTAAGTGAATACTTTTGTTTTCATTTGAACTTGTCACTTATAATAGAACATTGAGCAAAGAAGTCATGCCATATAAAGTCGTATTTGAGTGAATGTAATTGTAGTATAATACGCCCAGCTTACTGATATTGAGGCTGAAAATTTATTGATAGATAACAGTGATGACAGTGATGATGGTTATTACTTAATGATTCTGAATATAATTTTGAAAATTACTGAAATAGTGATGACAGTAAAAAATAGAATGAGAACTTGGAAGATTTGTGGTCCTTGTGGCCAAATGCAGATACCCGGATTACAGAAATACAATCAAAAGGAGTACATGTCAGCAATCTACCCCTCTGGATTTTTACCAACTTCTATTTACTAATAATTTGATGTAAACTAACATGGCCATACAGTGGGACCTGCCACACGCACAAGGAGCCTGAACAAAGTGCCATTTCAGAATGGCATTCAAGATACGCTATTCAAGCTGTGAGATACTACCAATGAGCTGCAGGGAAGTTTCAAGAAACCATATGAATGCAAAGGGTTAAAAAAATTATCTTAAAATTTATAAAATAACAATGCACATCTACTTTCAATATCATTAAATTTCATTCAATATTTTTCTTCAAGTTCTGGTATACATTGGCTTCGTGTCTTCTAGTAAAAAAAAACTCACCAGCTGCTGGCCCAAAGCCTGGCTGGTTGGGCCTCTTGGTTACAGCAGGTCGGAATGGGTTGGCATTAAAGCTGGCACCACTGGGAGCAGTCATGCCGTTGGTACCAACAGTTGGTGCCCATGGGTCAATTGTGGCACCAGCCACTAAAAACAATACACATTGCAAAGATTTGCAATAGCAACAAAAATGATTGTAAGAAAATAGTACCTAACTTTTGTTTGGATAAAAAATATTAATGGAGATACTCTAAATAATATAATCTGTATATCATATTCATCTATAAAGCAAAAACCACAACCTTAAATGTAATGGCAGTAATATATTCGACAATATCAAAGACAAGGAAATGAAACACATGCACAAGAAAGAAGAATGAAATTACACCACCAAGAAAAGTGAGGAAACATACATCAAGAAATCCAGAAGCGTGGTCAAATTGATCTTCCATTATTAACTTCGAACATACGTTAACTAATAATTAAAATATGGAACTTAGCCTCACTAACTTTTAATATGTTCTAAATATACTCTTGAATATGTTAATTTATTACCAACACTGTACAAGTAGGAACCATCTGTAGTGAAAAATTTTATTTTTGTATCTACGTTAGGTGAGCCACAGGTTTAGATTGTTGATTACTTACTTGTGTACTCCATATAGGAAAATTTATGAAATTCTGCAGCAAAGGTGCAGTACTTTGTGGGTCCCTGATACGAAACAAAAGGTGTTCTTTCTCATACACATACTTTCTCTTACACACACTGTAGTCAGAACTCATGTTTTAGGAGTCTTCATGGTAATAATGGGAAAGTGTTTTTTATCAAAACATCCATTTGTGAACAACACTAGTGTCTAAACCAAAGAGAATTTTCCCCAAAATGGATATTCTCTAATTGATGGCAAGGGGCTTTGAATTTTAAACAGATATTTTAAGTTTCAGGAGTTACAAGCTCTGATAACATTTTCAAAATTGGCACCACAATTTTTCATTAAATCTTTTGTTTCAATAGAGTGAAGTACTCTTAAAAACAGGATTCGATCAATTTTAATAAAAACCTATAAATTGTAAATAATAACTAAAAGGGGGAAAAAATGTTTTAAACCCCTTTAACAACTACATAATGGAAGTTCTTGTCTTAAAGAAATCTATTCTACAAAATTAGAACTTTAAATGATGTCATGGACATTTTTTCAAAATTAGTTTTCTTGTAATTTTGAGTGAAAGCTTACAATTAATGAAAAACTTCTAATTATTTAAAAATCTTTTTGTGGGGGAATAGAGCAAAAATCAATAAATAATAAGGCACAGGTCTGATTTTTATTAAAAAATCTAAGATTTCTAAAAGTGCGAATTGCATTGCTCAATTGAAAATATTTTGCACAGAAATAACCATTTGATACCTCAAATTATGGTCACTTCCAACAATCTCTAAATAGGTCTATGTGCTTTTACTACATCATTCGTGAGTCCCCGACATAGGTGAACAGTTTTCAAAACTCAATTTCAGTGAAAAATGTTCAACATGGTTTGCTCTATGCCACAAGTCAACCAGTCCTTGCCACTGTAGAACGAAACCTACCGGCAAATGGATTGGGCACAGTGGCTGCCTCTGGGAAGGCTAGTGTGGGTGCTGTACTGGGCACTGAGTTCATGAACCCTGACTGGGCCTGTGAGAAGACAGATGCACCCACAGCATTTGTACTGGAGCTCACTGGCCATGGCGACGCTCCAGCTGCAGACACTGCAACACCAGTCACTAGGTAATAATCCAGAACCCCCCCCCCCCTGAACTACAGGAAATGTTTTGTAAAAAGAGACATTCATGTATTCACTAGAATTAAATTAGAATTTCAATGATTATGATATCAATTTTTTTTTTTAATGTTCGAATATTTGTATTTAAAATCCTAATAAGAATTAAACTGACTGTAATACTCCCAAAAAAATCTGATTTTGTACTCTGAAACACAATTAATAAAGTATCCAAGTTTTCAGAACAAATTCAAAATTCTAATAAAGCATATAAAAATTGTTTTGTTTCTCAATATCATGAAAAAAATAAAAACATCTGAAACAGGATGATTCATCAGCATACTACTAATCACTTAATCTCCAAAAATTTAACAATCTATCTTTGAAAAGTTGAGACAGGGGATTTAAATGCAAATTGAAAGAAAGTTGTTTTTCTTTTTAACATCTCTTTATATACAGAGATTTATAAGCAAGTGCCATCTTGAAATAACTGTTGACCAATTTCCCTTCTAATTTTTTTGTTTTAGGTTTAGGATGTTATGCAATTCATAACATTTTTAGATGCCAATAATTAAATGAGTTTCAGAATTTCATTGTACTGACACTGACAAAGCCAATGGCTTGGTCTGCACTGCATAAAAAAGTTTACAGATTTGTAAATAAAACATGTAATCTACAAGTCTGCTACTTTACTCACAAATTGAGGCAGTAAGCAACTCTAACAATGAAAAAATTGAGAATTCTCTAGTCATAAAATGTACTAACTAATTAGGAGTCAGTCAGGAACACCATGGTCTGCAGGAACATGCCTCATCAAGAAGCAGTATTGTATATTAAAGACAAAAAACAGTAAATTCTCTGTTATTAGTGCCATTCATTCAAATTCTATGGCCAAACTCATCTAACATGCAAAAGTGTATATGTGAAGTAATCAAAATTAATATTTTGTTGGACCTTGATAATGAAAAAGTGGTGCATAGCAAAACATGTCTGTCTGTCTGTAGACAACAACACCAACTAAAACATTTAGAACATGTTCTCCAAAATAGATATTCCCAGACTAATTTAACCACACTTGAGACCCTGCAAATTTGAAATGAGGATTTTTATTTTGGAAAATACTTCGGATTAAGAAAAGTTTCGAAATTTTATCAAAAATGAATTTTTCATTTTAATTTCTTGTTGAAATAGAGAAATGTATGCTGGTCTGCTTCTCATTGTTATCTCAGAATTTTCTAAAATGGCTAAATTTTAAACTTTTTTTAATTAACCTCCAACACTATTAAAAATGAAGATATTTCTCCACAGACTCTGTTAATCAAAATTGGATCTTTAATTAATGCCACAACTCCCCCCCCCTCAAATTAAGAGTAGCTTCGCATTCTTTTGAAAGCAGTCAGGACAATTTATAAAAATACTTACATTAGACATTTTAAAAAATTACACATTTAAGTTTTCTTGAAATCTCTTTCATGTTAATATCCATATTACTAATTTCCAAAGCATGCAGGTAAAAAAATTCAAAAACAATGATGCAGCTTGTGGCATTTTGAGAGGTGACTATGAGTTTCTTAAATGCCCAGGAACTTCGGGAAAAATACAAAAACTAACTACTTTACTAATTTCCATTGTAGGCAAACATTGAAAGAAAACTATGAAGTCTCTAACTTTTGAGAGATGTCTAAGGTTTTGTTAGATACAGGTATTATTCTGCCTACTCTCATATTACGTGAACCAACTAAATTTTTATACTGATGTGACACTCCTTGCAATACTGCTGACTGAGTCATGTAACAGCAATCTTCCAAGAAAGAGGCCATCCATCATTGAATATTTGCTATTCATGTGTTCCTTTATGGAAAAGTAACTTTTTCAATATTTTTGGTGTGTAAAGAACAGTTGTACAATGACTCTAGTCTATATATTACTGCATTATTCATAAAGAATAATTTTGTTAAAATATTTAATTTATTTTATCTATTAATTATTATTATTATTTTATTTATGTTATATAATAGTTTTCAATTGTTGTTTTTGAACAGTGTGTGTGCTGCTGTTTGGAAAACCATTTTCTGTGGAGGAGGTATTTTTGCTGCTACAGACCACTAGTTACAGGTATATTTTCTGCTAGTATTTTCTCTCCTTTAGGATTTAGGAATAAAGTGGTTTCATCAGTGTTAAAGTCTCTTCTTGGATCTTGGTGAGGTTGTCAGAAGATCCATTTCTTCAAAATAATTTCTTACTTCAAATCACTTTTCTGTTTTTTTCTTATATAATTTGCTTTCTTGCAATTGTGAAGTTTTGATATCCTTGGATGCTTGAATCATCATGTTGCCTTAAAAACTCCTGATACTGCTTTGACTGAAAGCCTATCTTCTGCAAGAGCAATTTACAGTTGGCATGCATTTCTTTATCCTCAGGAGAAAAGGCAATAGGTGTTCCAATGCTTTTGTCCATTGGGATTTGCCCTTTATGCTTGGTCATCACTATTACCTTTGATAAAGCAAACTCCTTTGCCTGCAGCATTGTAACTTCTCCCTCCATTCACAGAATTTACTGCTTTCACCATCAAGTCCTTTGTGTACTGTAGAAATTTTTTGGGTGCCATATTATCTGCATTTGCAAAAAAGGGCAAATAAATGAAAATGTTTCCTAAAGCTGACAGTGTGAATCAAAGATTGACACCCCATGACAACATTAGGTTCTGAACCTATTAGTTTCTTAAACTTAAGACCCTTATTTATTACATTTTCTGCTTGTGAACATAATGTAAAGAGTACAAAATTATAATCAGGACCTAAAGTAGACACCACTGTCTTCCTAGGTGCAATCAAATTTTTGAGAGCATGCACTAACAACCTGCCTAATATTCATGCTTTAGAATAAAGTAAGGTTATAAACACCTACAACATTTTCTAACTCTTTCCTTGTTAACATCCTAATACCCAAATACCACAAAGCAAACTTATTTAATATAATAGACTCATGAATAAAAACAAATTTCTTATGAAATTCATAAGGATTTCCATGGATTACTTGCTTAAGTACACATGCCAAATCTCTTCTGTCAAACACAAGCTAAAAAATTTGATGGTCATCAATTAGAGTTGTCGTTTCAAGCTAAGGTGTGAACTAATACTGTCACCTCTTGGTGTACCATCATAACTACTAGATACACAACTTATTTCATAAACAATTGTCCTTGCATGTCATCAGCGGATGAACTGTCAGTACTCAATGCCATTACCTTATAAAATACTGTATTATAGGTACTATTACAGCATAATTGGTGACAATTTCTGCAATAACTTATTGAATACAATGTCTGTATTAGCCAGACCTTCCTTATTCAGATCTAATGATGATCCCTACCGTTCTCAATGATTTGCATGCTTACACTAAATTGAGTACAGTCAATGTTGATGACAAAAAAAGGACAACACATTTTGATTTGCTAAGGCATACTTCTGTATTTAAATCTTGCATAAGTTTTGTGTTCACATAAGTCTTTTTTCTTTGTCTCTTTTGCAAACGAGTTCAAAATTAGGCATTTTACGAAGTGCTCCCACATTTTCTCAAAACCGGCTCCAAATTTTGTCCAGAAAATTTCCATTTGAAGAGAGGTTTTGTTCTTCTAAGATATTCTTGAAGTCTATTTCAAGTAAACTATTTTTGGATAAACAAAATTATCTCTATAAATATTCTATTACATTTTTTGTACAGTTATTTAATTTTGAAACGTTTGATCACTACTGGGTGTGATGTTGATAATCTTCGTTAAAATAACTTCATTGTTACAATGGCAACAAATGGTGTTGAATATAATACATGTTGTTGATTCTATGTAGTAAAGCACATCATAACTCATGAATCGATAAAAAAGGTTTGTTTTCTTTCTTTTTTACAAAAATTTTATTTTACATTACTGTAAAACATTTATAAATAGAACAATTAAGTCAGCAAGATTTGTGGTCCATGAGCTTGGGTGAGGTGTGCCAAAGTATGCCTACACTATTGCTGTGGGTTTGAAACCTGTGATAAGCATTAGTTTTCAGTTGTGTTAGTCATATAGGGGCCATTCCCAGTCCCTTGTGTATAGTGTCAGTACCTTAATACTTCTATAATGAAGTGCCCTAATGAATAACGTAATCTTCCTCTGCGAAATTCAGGGACTCTTCAAATATTTTCACCATGAACAATGGTCAATCATTAAAATGTGGCCACAGGCTACAACAAGCCAAAAAGTTATGGTACAGGATTGAAATGGGCCTAAGGGCTATTTGGGAGTGATGTTTGGAGATAGTGAGGGATTGCTTCACCGAGACTTGTCTCTAGAGGGATGACCTGGTGGGTTCCTTAATTACTAATAGATGTAGCCGGAAGAGAGTGAAGCTAAGCTGAAAACGTAGCCCTTACTCAAAAGGAAGGGGAACTAACTAGTACGAGAACCTCAGAGCCATTTTCTAGGACCACTAGCTATTTATATAAAACAAATGAAACATTACATACAATGATGATAATTTGTCTTTTCAAAAAATGTACGACACTGGCCCCCTTTGCGCTTATGTGGTAATACTTTCTATAATCTATTAAATATCTCTCTATAATCTGTAAAATAAATAACTTCCCTATTCATTAATTATGGAATATTTATTCGCTAGTGTTCTACTTTGGTAGTTTTAATTCAAAAATGGTCCTTTACTATGTCAGTCAAAAAACTAGAACTTGCAGAACTTAAAAAATTTTACAAAACATACAATTTTAATTGAGTATCCAAAAAGTCAATTTTTTAAACTATAAACACTTCTCAGATTATGAATGGTAATACAGCATGCCAATGAAAGTTAAAAATGTAGCAAATTCAAAACATCACTTTCAAATAATTCCGTAAGAAGCATTATCACTCACTAGCACAATACATAATTATTGTTCCACATTCCTAAGTAAATCAATTATAGGATTCTAATTTTCCATTTAACTTCCAGAGAAGAAAAAACCATAGAAGATAATGGATAGAAAAAGTCAGAAAAAGTTTTAGAGTAGAGAAGAAATTAATATACTCAGCGTTATTGACAAGTAAAATTCTGTAATTGAAGGTTAAAACATTATTTACAATCTAACTACTTATGACAGGTATTCCAAAGTATTTACAAAATTTGAAGGATTTAATGTAGTGGCAAGAACTCCAGGTCATGCAATGATTGAATATGAAGAAGCAGTACAACTTTCTTTCATAGAGGTTCATGCACAAAGGCACAACTAATTTCATAACTCTTTCATGAAGTAACAGCTTAGAAATTTATGATTTGCATCAATCTAAGAACTTTTCTCCATTTATTCTGATCCTGTTAGCACTTTTATTCCTTACCTTGCCCTTTTCTATTTCTCACTCAATTTCTAAACATAACTTTACATTTCTTCAATATTTTCTATTTACAATAGTGCTGACAAGTTAAAAGTCACCGGTGCTGTACAATTCCCTTCACAAGCAGGCAGTCACTGGCACTTCTCTGTTCCTGTGGCATCCATGCTTTGCCATGATGCTTTCCCACTGCTTCTAATGAATAAAAATACCCTTCAAAAGGTGAGGAAAATGCTGCCCCTGTAGAATTCAAGGTGCACTGAGATGTAAAAATCATGTAGGGGATGATTGTAGCCTCCCAGGTCTCCTGATCACCATTCTTTTGCAGGTTTACTTGAAAGATTAAATGCGTGCAAAGAATCCACACAAAGATGTTCATAAACACATTACAAATCACACAGATGCCATTCCGTGTAATTATTGTAACTTCTGTAGGATAAGGGAGAGGTGACAGGAGAGCATCAGGGCAATGCACAGAAGCACACTTCCTGTCCCCCAAAGGCTTGCTAATGAAAGAGATTACTGCATGCCCAGTGACACATCCTGTATTTCATTAAAATTAATATATATTTGTGAAAATAAATGAATTTAAAATCCGTACAAAGTACAATACCGAAGCCTCACCTGATGACCAGTCGTTTAAAGGTGCAGCAGCCTCAACCACTGGTTGTTGGTGATGTTGCTGTTGTTGACTCTTCATGAGGCTGTCTAAGTCCTTAAGTGCTGCATATCGATCTTCTGATGGTGGTTGTGTTGCACTAAGGAGAGGAGGTTGATTGACACCCATGGAGCTTGCAGCTTTGCGTGCTGGACTTCCAAAACCACCTAATGTTGACAAGGCTGAGGCAGTGGGCATACCTGGTAACAGTGAAATGTGGTGTTTTATTTCATATATAACTTTCTAATTGCTGAATAATGCCACTCCCAACATAATATACTCAGTTGTTTGGCTAAATCAGTTTGTGTTCTTAACGTAATTCACATGCTTGCAGAATCGTTACTTATTATAATTATTAATCTAAACCCAACATATATTAAAATTACAAAGAAGTGAAAACAATTTATGATTTTTAATTAGACGTAAGTCATTTACATGTACAACAACAATATATCCTCTGATGAAACCTGTCACACACTATATGAACAAGTTCATAATTTGAAGTCTTTAATATTGATGTAAAAATTCAATTTTCTACATTTTAACATGTCTATTGAACATATCTTCCACCACAACAAAATTTATTAAAGGGCTCACAAAAACTGATTGAACTAGCAGAAGAGATACATTAAATTATAAAATATATTATGAGTACATCAATTAACATTTTCTCATTAAATGAAGAAGTTTTTGAATCATTTGTAAACACTTCAATTAACAAATGTACACAAAAATGGTTTATTTATCAAAGAGATTAAAAAAATAGCTGCAATACTCACAATAATAAAATACTGGCAAAGTATGCTAATTTTTAACTTAAAAAAAGAAGATTATAAATCTAAGACACACATAACAGTTTTCTAAAACATTCACTACAACCTAGAAACAAAAAAGTGCAGTTCAAACTAATCAATGTGACAAGGTAATCATAACTAATGACCTTATTTGCATAAATGACTAGTAAACAAAATAATTTCTCCATGTGCTATAGACATTGTGATGTAAAGAAATAAAATATATTTGTTGGATAAGTCTTCTAAAGTTATAGTACATTGCATTTTCTGCAATGCCTGTGTCTTTTCTTTATAGAAATAAACATGTCTTTTGCAAGTATACAAAGAAAAAATAATAAATATAAGAACCATCCTTCAAATATGAGAAAATTCCTTATTTTCAGTGCCCAGCATCTTTCCCAACAGGTGTGCAGAGGTGTGACTTCTCAAAAATGGTTTGTCAACAGTTCATTGTCAACAAAATTTGGAAATATATAAATTACTTATTAGAGTTCCTGATGCGTTGAACTGTATTCATAGCAGACAAAATTCTGTCAGGCTTCATTACGCATTCCTAATAATATTAGAAGGTATTTACGAAGACAAATTGTGCTTCAATTGTTCAATGCAAATTGCTTTATTTTAAATATGATTTAGTAATGATTTTAATTTAGTAAAGATTCATAATTTCATATAATGAAAAATTCCAGCCACTTTCCTGCATTTCATGCCTGTGGTATTAGATATTTATTACACACTATGTTAAATTACATTTAACCACTCAACACCATTTCTGGATGTTCCATCAGCTGTAATATAGAATATCGTAACTTAAAAAAGAGTGACTGGGTGAATTATAAAGAAAACATCGAAGAACATTCAACTTTGTCAAGTATTATTTGAGAGGATGCTGGTTATAATGATACATGGAAACTCAACACAATGCAATAATGAGCAAGAAAAAAATTGCAAACACCATAATAGCAACTGACATTTCTATTGCAATAAAGCAGGAACATAAAAGATTATACAGCACAATCATGAGCAAAGTTAAATAAAATTTTGCAAAACGGAAAACGATTAATAATTTGATAGCAAAAACCATGCGTATGTACCTAAAAAAAGAATTGCATAAATTAAGACACCCAAAAGGACATAATTCACTGATGCATAGAGCTAAAAAATTTGACAAAACAGAAAATCGTCTTGTTACTAATTTTCTATTCTTCAATCCTAATAATTTCACATGTAAAATAAAATGAAGTCTCAATGTAGTTATCTTTCAAAAGAGAAGAGCACCTTCATAAATAAAGAATAATACAGTTTATTGCTAGAGAAAGTTGAATGCAGGCACTCTCAAAGTTGAATTAATTTTGTATTTTAACAAAGGGCAACAAATTTAAAACTACATGCAAAATACATAGAAGTTCTTTTGAAGTTTATGTATCTCATACTAAGTTCTCAGCTTTTCTGCATAGTACATACACTTGAATGCTGCACAAGATTTTACTTTCCAAATTATATTTTATTTAAGATAGATTTTGTCTTCAAAAACAAAGTAAAAATTAAGAGATATGAAAAAAATTTCTGAATGAAAATTCAATCTTAATTATTTTTTTTCTGCTAAGACTGTAGAACAAAACATGCAATGTACAATCTTCCCTCACTTAAAGTGAACTAAAAAGCAGCTATGGAAAAAAAATGCTACAAAAACAAGGGAACAAAAACAACACAATCAACACACATTCAAAACTACACCACAAAAGACTCACTCCAACGATTGGTGTTGCACTTGGACGGAATGGGATCACTTTTCAGCATTAGTCCAAACAACTGGTCACCTGGAATAGACACCAACACATTGCAAAACCTTCACATTCTGGAAACACATTTCAGGTACAACTAGTTCATTAGTAAAAGTCTGCTTCCATTTGTTGGATGAAAGTTTGGTAGGATCAAAGACAAAGGTAAAGACTAAACTAGTTTTAAAACAATTATATTAAATTTTAGACATTCCTTCTCTTATGTTGTCCTAATTTACAGTTTTCATCTTAAATCTTCTTCAGCCATAACTGACTGTTTTCCTGGTATCACTGTTTGGTTTTGCAGGTTCTCATGAGTTACATCAACACTTCCATTTGCAGCCATCTGTTCAATCTTAAATTCATAATACAGAAGAACACAGTCGCATTTCTTACCGGAGCCAATAGGATGCGCTGGAAATATTCTATCCTTGCGTCCAGGCACCCAGCCTCACTTACACGGGCTGCCCTACCAACGGCTTCGCAATCAGCGTCCGTTTGCACATCGGACAAGAATGGAATGGGGTGGGGTGGGGTGGGGTGGGGCGTCAGTCTGGCACCTAGCCATGTTCACATGAAGCGGCTTCATGGCCTAACGGAAATTTCTCACAACCCCCAGTTGCCCATACTAACCCACCCACCTGTTCACTCGCCTACAACCAGGCCCACTGGTCAGAAATAGCAGCCCAAGATAATCTACAATCTTTGTGATCCGCCCTAGTGAGAAGCATTAATATCCATGAATAACAATGTATTTGAAGCCATCTAATTAGTTTTTTTATTTAATGATGAGTAGATCTTGATGTGAAATTGCACTTCCCTCCAGGACAAAACAAAACAATACGTTCGATGTCAGCCACTAACGACAAGGACATCCTCAGCAAACACACAAGAAAACTATTCCAGCTGCAGTATCTGTCACATACACAAGCAGGAGCATTTCTTACAATTTTACAGGTAATCTTTCCGGCAAGAGCACATGCATCAAATTTGATGAATTATTAAAGAATTCAATAATTTTTTATATATTGGAACTACTTACCTTTATTATAACATGTCTTTGCCAATTTATAAATGATTTAGAAAAAAGGAAGAGTAAAACAGAATATTCATGGTGGTGTTGATTTTACGAAATACTGTGTATGGGTTTGTCATACTATCTTATTGGATTAAAAGATCTTTCAAACATATATTTACTCGTATAAAAAGGAAAAATTCAACTTAATCATAACACTCATTACCTACATAATTATTCTAAAAAGAAAATCAAAACTCATATCTTCCATAACTGTTCTTAACTTTTTACAATAACAAGTTGACCTATTTGAAACTAGATTCAACATTCATTTCAATTTCAACTTGTCCCTGGAATATTTATGCAACAGTTATTATCATCTGGTAAAGTACCTTCTCACAAAATCACAGCACCATTCTCTTGGTAATCTTTAGGTACTGCGAAGTTTACATACATGTCCAGGTAGTTTTGTTTCCCATTAAAAGTCTTTAATGTTCAGTTTATGAAACATAGGATTTGAAGACAAATATCTATTATTATATTCTATAATCAAATTAACACAAACTCCCTCAATAAAATGAAAGATACTATATTTCATAATGATTAGGATTTCAACCTTCCTTTGACTTGTACAGAACACAATTTAATGTTGAACTTTGGTCTCTCCGTGCAAAAAAGTAGATTTTATGAAATGACTACTTCAAACTTGAAAATATTTTGGCATATTGTTGTCCATGATGCCTACACATCAAGGTACAATATTAAAATTTTCTGATTGTTTGGCAACAATACACTCTAAAACTTTAAGACTACTTGTGAACATTCCTATATTCTTTAAATTTTTTTGCCCTCTTATAAATATTTCTAAACATTTGTGAGTGTATATAAGATACGTAGTAAAATTATTCATTAAATATCAATTTTATATCGTGCTGTTCTTGGCATACAACAATAAAAAACTTTTTTAAAGTGCACTTACTCAAAAGACTACGTTTTAAAATTTTACTCTCACAAAACACACTAAATTCGGAGAGGGTGACTATGTCACCCAATTACACCAAAAATACTCATATTTCGAAAAAATTCAACTTTTCAAATTTCTTAACAATTCAAATTTCATTAAGTAAAAATGATATCTTCACAATGGTAGTCGTGGAAAGTTACCAAAATTTTAAAAATTTTTGGCAATAAAACGAACATGAGATTTGCACTATTCTATTAAACTTACGCTCTCTAAGATTTTAATTTAACCAAAAAAATGTGCTATTTTTAAGAAAAAAATGGTTTAAAGAAAATATAAGTTGCCAATATTCGACACCAAATTTCGCAAAATATATTCATGATTTTTAAAAATTGAAAATGACATAATTTTTAGGTCTGTTTTTGGTGAACACATTTCATTAAGAAAAAAAGGTTTATCTTCGTAATTGTAGAAAGAAGCGAAAAATTTCTGATTTTTTCAGTTCACAAAAAAATCAGGGCTTTTGACCAACATGAGACCTGCACCACTTCAGTCTATTCTACAACAAAATTTCATCTAAAACAATGGAGAAGTTTTTTTGAAAACTTGGAAAATGACCCCAGGGGCTTCATGTAAAGACCCCTCCTCCAAATTACAATATGTTTCTAATTCAAGGGGTCACAACATCAGTCAGATAGTTTGAGAAATATAAATTTTGGAGAAAACTGACTGAATGGTTGAGCCTACTAGCATTGTTCACAGACAGACAAATGGACAGACGTTTTACAATCAATCAATTTTCAGGTATCAAGTCCCACAAAACATGGATTTTGGCAACACCATGGGTTAGAGGAATTTTTTTTCTTGTTTTAGTAAGTGGCTTTATCCACTTTTGTTGCCAGGGCCCTACAATAAAAGTTTTTATACCAAAAATTTGCCACTTTTTCATTACATAACTTCCTCTCTACCGTGTATGCAGTAGTGAGAAAGTAAAAATTTGTGATATAGCCAGTAACCATGTTTAGAAGGTCCTTGATTCCAAAAAATCGATTGACAGCAAAACATCCTTCATTCCGTCTGTGAACAACACTAGCTCTAAAACTATGCGTACGTTTTTGGTTTATTTTCATACTTAAATAACACCTGTCGATCTGATCTGAGTCACTGAGTCTGAGTCGGGTTGGCTCTGTGATTTTGAAAAACATTCATTAATGTTTGGGGGTATATTAAATGTAACCCTTAGGACATTCTCAAAATTTCCTCGAAAATGACTCCAATTTTTTTCTTTAAACTTCTTGTAAGAATAGTGTAGAATAAACTTATAATTGCATGAAGCTTGAAAATGCATTGCATGAAATTGAATTTGAAGCTTTTTATCTCTTCAGTTTTCGAAAAACTTCATTTGAAGACAGGTGAAGCACTTTCACTCACAAACACAAAAATGTATACAAATTATTGGGAATGTTCAAGTTAACAATGTGAGAGATATTTAAAAGTTACATTTGTGCACTTATTGAAAACACAAACAAACAAAATAATACAGCAAAATTTAGTTTATGTCATCTTAAACAGTGCAATTAGCAGTATTCATATGGAAAAGTTCAAAAAAAAAAATTTGGTGCTATTTTTGAGAAAATGACATTTAAACGTTTCTGAAAACACAGAATTTTGAGCTCAGTTTCACTGAAAACGAACCCTTTCGAGAAACTTTATCAGACTTCATTTAAAGCACATATACTCATTAATGCAATAATGTGAACAAATCACTGCAAGTGTAAATATAAACAATGTGAGAGAGAAGACAAAAAAAATTTTTGAAAAAACACAAGAATAGCACAGAATGCCATCTTCCAGAGTACATTAGCACTAATAGTGAAAAAATTTGAAGCTGTTTTCATGAAAAATCAAGTTTTTTTCTTAAATTGCTCATATTGCAAGCAATATTGTGCGAAAACTACTAAAATTTTGAAACATTGTACATGATATTAGTGAAAGAACAACCTAGTGAGAAAGAAATTTACTTCAAAGGATAATTTCTATCTTAATTTTTGTAGATGTAGAAAAATGCTAGAAAAAATTCAAACTTATGAAATTTTTGAAAATTCAGAGTTATGTCTGAAAATTGGACTTATGCTTCCTTTATAAGTGAATTTTATTCCATTCCTTCAAAAAATTTAACGAGAATGTTTGGATTTCATTTTTGAGAAAATTTTTAAAATGTCACAGAGTTCATGTAAATAACCCTCAAATTTTAAAGAATGTTTCTCAATATCGGAGCACTTTGAGTCTAGCGAGAACGACTGGGAAATATACATTTTGGAAAAAAATCCTACTTATGGTTTAGATGCTAATGGTTTTCACAGATGGACAGACTGGCATTTTGCTGTCAAACGATTTTTCATTACCAAGGTTCCACAAAACATGAATTGTGGTGACCACATGTTAGAGGATTTTTCTAAATTTAACAAGTGGATTCTCTCACTTTTTAATTATGTGAGACTGGCAATAAGGGTTTTTCTGCCGAAAATCTGCAGTTTTTCTGTGCAGTATTGCATAACCTTCTCCCTACTGCATAAGCAGTAGCAAGAAAGTAAAAATGTATTTTATCTATTACAAAACCTTTGTCCATTTTATTGAATTCATCCTTGCTTACTGGTATCTTTCCCAACAGTTGGAAACTTGGCAAGATAACATCTATCTAAAAAAAGGTGACAGATCTAATTCTTCAAATTATAGACCTACATCAATCTTGTGTTCCATTCCGAAATTATTTGAAAAACTGGGAACAGATGTACTATCAAATTTTTTTGAACGAGGTGCTATGCGGAGGGATTTTCAGAATATTCAACAGTCTCCAAGAACATCTCAACCTACTTTCACAGACTGACACTGCCTTAATCAAAGCATGGAATAAATTTAAATTTACCATTTCATATTTTTTTCTAATTTTTGGAAACACAGTGTGTATGCCGGAAATGGGAACAGTGCCACTTTCTCTACCATTCTTTAGTACATACATGAAAATATTTAATGCCATTTCCAATAAAAAAAAAAAAATGTTTAAAAATAAAAATTGCCAACGTTTCATGCAAAAAATACTCATTTTAAAAAAATTGAGCATGACTATTTAAAGATGTTTCCGATGAACACATTTCATTAAGGAGGGAAAAAAATTAGTCAAAGATAGACAAATTTGAATTTTTACAATTTTTGTAAATCGGAGATGTCAACAAAAATGAGACCAGTACCATTCTCTTAAGAGTCCTTTACACTTTCCGAGATCAAAATGTATTAAAGATTTGGTGCCTTTTTTGAAAATTTTGAAAATGTCCCAGAGGCTTCATGTTACCCTAAATTAAAATATCATTTTCAAATTCAAGGGGCTGCGGTATCAGCCAAATAGACTGGAAAATATCAGTTTTGTAAACATTTTGCTTACAGTTTAGCTGCTGACGTCGTTCACAGACAGATGGACGGACATTTTGCCATCTATCAATTTTTCGGTATCAAGGAGCCCCAAAATGTGGATTCTGACTACACAACTGTTAGAGGAAATAAATTTCTCTGTCATATATACCAGAGCCCAGAAATTAGAGTTTTTATATGGAAAATTTAGTTTTTCGCCAGCACCTTTACAATACTTTCTCTATACTAAGCAAGCTGTAGTGAGAAAGTAAAAATTAGTGAAAATTATAATAATATCAATAAATAAGAAGTGGATGTACTTACTAGATGAACTGAAAACTGGATTGTTTTCAAAATTGGCAAAGGAAGGTTGTGCTGTGTTTGGCATTGCTTGTGATGAGGAACTAAAGGGGTCAGCAGAACCAAAGTCGGCTAAGAACTCAGATGGCTTGTCTGGAGTGAACATATTGTCATGGGATGGTACCGATGTCTGAAAAATATGGAAGAAAAACAAAACACTTGTGAAAGTTACAATTCTGCAACTGCTCACCTGTGGTAAGAAATAATGCACACCCTGAATCTTTCATTGAAAAAAATGACAAATTGTTAAATCTATTGTTAAGTCATTGTGTCAATCTAAATTTCAAAATTATTTGTCAAACAAATATTGGGCATGTAAGCTTCAATGTTTTGTTTTTGACAACCACCAACAATTTTTCTTTTTTGCAGTGCAAGTACTTTGAAATTATGTATTAAACGACCACTATTGGTTCAATAAAATACTGATGTTTTAGAGGGTTGATAGGATAGTGATCTTATAGGGAAATATCATTTAAAAAAAAAATAGGAATATTATTAGTAGACATCAAATATTCAGTAAAGTGCCTGTTTTATTGGATATTTATTAAAGTATTTTTAGAGAAAGAGCACGAATTGTGAAAAATGAAACATTTGACTACGTTTTAATTGGCTTTTTTTGACACAAATGCTCTTTTACAATTATTTACAACACTTTAGCACCCTATTTGAAGTCACTTCAAGGGGCCTAAAAATCTTACCATAAATGGGGGTTAACACTAATAGGGGGTTGAAGTGTTCTTTGAAGAAACAAGTTAAAATTAACTAGGGATTATCGGTTTTATTTAAACAAATGCTATATTTTTATCGAAGGAGTTGTCTGTACGTTATGTAACACCAGGGGGGGGGGCAGAGAGTTTGAGGCCGCGATACGCTGAGTTACATAAGTGCAGGGGATCATGGTTTTACATTACGTAATGCTGATATATATTTTTAAAATTTTTCAGTATTCACTAAAATACTTCCTTTTATTCAATTTTGCAGTAAAACCTTAAAATATTACCAAATTAAATTAATAAATTAAAAAAATTGTTTAAATTTTAACAATACAATAAATTAAAATATTTGTTTTCTATTTTTTATTGATTCTGTTAGATTGCAATGAATTTTTATTAAAAATCCAACTAAATTGGCATGTAGACTTGCTGTCATGTCACCATGCCACAAGCGTTATATAATTATTTGGGGGTAATTCAAGTGCATGTAATAGACATGTCATGGGGGGAAAAGGGAGTATTCAAAATGCTGTAAATTAACGTTACAAAATTTATGGATATATAAATACCATGTATACCTGAATATAAGACAACCCCCTAATTTAGAAGAGACTTCCTAAGAATTTGTTTAAATTTTGAACTAATTCACACTAGTCAAAATGAAAAATGTTTTAATGACTAGAAAATTGCCTTCTTGAAGAGAAAGTTAAGACTTATTGCTGAACTATTATTTTCTTGTTTCTCAGCATTATCGTAATCATGGTTTTTGTCACTCCCATCATCTTTACATGAATCAACATTTTTTTCTTTTTTTGGTCCTCCTTCCAGGCTGCAACATCATCTGACTTTTTAGGTTCTTCTGGAAAGTTTGCACCAGGGCCTTGCAATCCATCAAAACAGGGGACAAAGCTCAAGGGTGCTACTCTAGGAGGAGCTAGTGTTGCCGGGTAGAGCTGCAGGTAAAGCTCGCCAACTTCTGCACATAAAAATTTGCTCATTTGTGAGAAATAGGAAAAGTGTCTTTATATGTTCAATTATTCATAATACACTCATAAAAAACCCATGAAGAAAGCACGAACATCTGCGCTACATTTTTTTGTAACCTTATGGGCCTCCTTGCAACTCGCGAACTCATGCAGTGGCCACGCACGCTTTAAGCATCATTGGAAGCAGTTCGTGTTTTAGTTCCTGTACGAAGGTGCTGCAGTAGGGCACGTTACCATAGTGGTTTTCACCACGTTATATGAGAGTTAAAAGGCCCTGGTTTGCACATTGAAAATATGTCAATCTAAATGTTTCATCAGATGCTACCTGCTACCTAAGAACATTCCTTTCTGTGTCACCAAATTTTCTATATGCCCTGCAACTGTTGATGGCCTTAGTTTTTTAATAAGAAAAAGTTCAAAGTTTAATAGTTCAAAAGGGAGATTTGCACTAGCCAGTAGTCAAATCCGCAATCATTGAGGAATCAAAAATCCGCACAGCCTCATCGAGAGTGCCCCACAACAAAATTTCGGCACTCATTTTCATGTTACATTTCATTTGATAATCTGACATTGTTTTGAGATTCTCATTTTATCGGTCCATTAAAAAAAGTTGAGCTGAATTACGCGGCAAATTCGCGGTGGAGGCCGAGAACAACAGCAAATATAATATTACCTATTGCAAAAATGCACAATACATTTACTGTCTTTCAAGTTTATTTTTATGGCAACATTTACAAGTTTTGTGAAAAGGAATAGTAATGTAAAAACTTTAACCCTAACCAAATAGGCTTTATCTGTGAATATAAGACGACCCCACAATTTTATATTCCAGTAAATAGATATTAAGGAATAAAACTCTTCTTATATTCCAGTAAATATGGTAAATTTCAACATTATCATTCAATGATAAAAAAATATTATCATACAAGTTTATCTGCGAACGTGAAATTTATACAGATGAAGGGCACTCCTGCTATGTAGAAATCTGATTCAGAGCAGCGATCCAAGAATAAAACCACTGTAATACAGATGTTATTGCAGATGTAAAGGGTTTCCTACACCGCAATTGGCTGCAGTGCATAACAGATAATGTTGGATGACGTATTTGGCAATGGTTTCCAATCGGGTTGTGCAACAAAGCCAATAGTGTTATATAAAGAATATAATTGCATTAATTACATGTAGGCATCATTGGGACTTTCAAAACTTGAGATATGTGAGTACACAGAACACAATTTTATCCCACTAACATTAAAATTTGTGAATTTAAATATATTGTTACAGAATGTAATGATCTGTTAAGATTCAAGAGGTCACAAACAAGAGGGGGATAAGAAGAAAATCTGGCGACACAGAAGGCAATGTTTGGTGACATATGACAAAAGACTAAGAACTTAAGTTCAATGTGGAAAACTTTCCGAGGGACCTAAAATATCGCAAGACACACCATTGGAGGAGAAACAAAAAGAAGGAAACTGATACATTTGAAGATGAAGAGGGTGGTGACAAAAAATATGATTATGATGATTTTAAGGAACAAGAAAATAGTGATAGCTCAGTCATTAATAAGACAATTTGCAATTTTATTTGGACCTAATGGTAAGAATTAGTTTAAAATTGTTATATTCTCAGGAGTCCTCGTCAAAATTAGGGGTTTGTCTTATATTCAGAGTCAACTAATAATTGAGTAAATAAGTTATAATTACAGATTTCATTTTCCTAGTGAGCTGTATCATTGTATGTCAATTTACTTCAACCTGTCTACTACCAAAAAAATTTTAAGATTTTGTTTTTACAATTACATCAGATGTATACATTATCATCCAATTTTCAAAAATAACAGGTAAGAAGACTAATTCCCTCATTTAACAACATCACTGATACCAGTACCACAAAGGTGAAAATCATTGAGCAGCATACTCTCAAGAGATTTTTTTTAATGCAACTTTTAAAAAAATGTCACAATACACTTCAATTTAAATTATTTCACTTTTTAAATATCTTAGCCAAAATATAAAGTGAAATTCATATAAACCCTTCAGGTTTAGTGATTTAATGTTATGAAGAAACATCATTAAATTCTATTATTTTATCTATCATAATTTTAAAAATGATTTATTTTTCTGTTTAAAAGAATTATTTGTTTGTCTGTTTCAATAACGGGTGGTACATAATCACCTGAACATTGAGGACAAGAGGTTTAGCTTGAATGAAAGGTGTGGGTGTCACATTTGCAGATGGTTTACCATCTGAAGCACTACCCACTGACTGTGGAGTAGAAGTCCGAGACCTTGACTGTACTTCTGGAGACGAGAAGCCAGTTGGACCATTGCGAGGAATAGTAGTTGGGTCCACATAGTACCTGTGTACAATTCAAACAAAATGTAGTAAGGTAAACAGAAAGAAATTATACAATCCATTAGAAAGTGGATTAAAAAAAAAAGAAAAAAAGAAAAAAATCAATGTATGAAAATAAGCTATGTGGTTAATGAATGGGTTAAAACCAGAACGGTATAAGTGCCATTTTATAAATTCAGAGAAAAACATGTTTATTTTAGGATATGTTTCAGTGGTAATGGATTTTTGTGGTTTTAACAATCAAACAAAGCACCATGACTTTACAGTGACATTGATTAAAATAAACAGATTTCTCAGAATTTATAAAATGTCACTTATACCATTCTGGTTTTCACCCATTCAAATTATGGTGTTTGTCTCTTTTGTGGGTGCCTACCATAAAAGTAATTTTTTAATGTGGAAAATGTAAACACTGATTGTAAATCTAATGAACTTTTTTAATTAAATAACACCCACTTTCAGTTAAAATGAATTTGAAATTCTGTTTTCAATTAAGTTGTGTGAATCACCCACACCAAATTCAAATCAGTACCACCCTTTTTTGGTCAATAATTTGGTCATTTCAGGCTAGTAGATGATTTTTTTGACTGGTTCTAAAACAGCTGAGCACAGCAAAAGACCACATTGCTTTGTTAAATGTATTCTTTCACCAGCTGTATTTGCTGGAGTGTCAGCTGTTAATGCCTCGAAGTGTCTGTTCACTATGTGAAGTAAGAGGGTCGGGATAGTTTCAACAAGAAATTAACATTGTTCCAATATTAGCACTAAAAATAATATTATAAGAATTGAAATCAATCCTATTGAAAAGCAGATGAAAATAAGTATGCTTTGAGTTATGTCCTCATATGTAATCAATCAGGCTATAATTATGAAATTCAAAAGGGAGTACATTCTTTACTTTCATCAGGTTTTTAATAAAACTTGCAGTAGGCAAGTTTTTTAAAAATTATAACCAGGGCTTGGATTCTGATAACATGTCATCTTTTAACCCTTCAGTATGGAATGCCATCTGTAGACAGCAATTTCCATTCCCTTCTCAATACCTGGGCAGGTTGGATTTTCCTTTCTGTTGGCGGTAAGCTGTCTCACGAGGGAAGGGACTCTTACCCGTTTTCCTCTCATTTGTGGTGTGCCGTCTACAGACACTGGTCACTTGGCCGTGCTGTGCACAGTCAAGCAGTGTGTTAGGCATGATTTTGGTTTCTTTTCACATGTTTTGACACAAATACTTTAATATCGATTGAAGTGATTCTATTTTTTTGTGGATTTTTTTAAAGCCACACTTAATTTACAATACTTTGTCTTCTATGTACTACATATTGTATGAAATTATTGCGACTGTCAGACATACTATAAATAAAACGATAGAAATTGTCTTAAATTTAATACAGCCATTGCTAAATAAGGCCAACACTTTATGGATGGGCAATTACTACAACTCCCTTTCATTACTGTGATATTAAAAAAATGGGAACAGATTGTGTAGGAACATTATATTTTAACAAAAAAAAGTTCTTGAATTATTGTAAGAAAAGAAATAGAAGTGAGGTGAGTACATCACCCAACACTCAGGCTCCATTTCAATGTTGAACTGAATGGATGAAAAGGCTGTTTCTATGATAAGCACCTATCACAAGAATGATTTTAAAAGTCATTACAAAGAGAAAAGAAGAAATTAAAAATCACACGTGTGTTCTTGATGACAATAAATCTATGGGAAGGGTAGACGTTAAAGGTCAATACTTGTAAATATACCTTATTGCAAGGGAGAAAACAAGAAAAGGGATATGAAAACTTTCAGAAGATTATTAAATGTCACTGTGTTGAATACACTTATTATTTGAAAAAATAATCATGCTGGGAGAAGAATTGAAATCTTTGAAATTTCATATTGATCTGATTGAGCAATTATTATCTGTTTATTCACATGTCAAAATAGCAGTGTATGAATGTAGTTTGGTAAGTGATTTACAATGCTTGCCAGTAAGGCACTTTCTTGAAAGAATTCCACCTCAAGGCGACAAAATTAAACAACAGAAACACTATGTGGTATGTCACAAGAGTGGGAGACATCGAGGGCCTACATTCTGGTGCCCAGAGTGAAAAGAGGACTTTGCAATGACACTTGTTTTAAAAGCAATCATACTATAGAAAATTGTTATAAGTATTTGTAAAGAAAATTAGTGTACCTTAGTTTTAATTGTGTTCCACTCTTAATATACATTAATGTAAATGAATGAAAGTGTCATACAGTTTATTTTAATTTTCCATTTTCTCAAAAGTCATTACTATTTAATCATTATCACTGTTTATCATATTATTGAATATGTGCAGCAATGAATTCTCAGAAAAGAGCACATTTACAGAGCTGGGAAGTGCAACAATGCATGAGCTGAGATGCACTCGGCTTGCTAGTTGCCCCCCGCGGTGCTGCTGACCGCACCTTTCACTTAAAGCCACCTTCAAATGCTACTGCGCTCACCCTCCACGCTGTGTTGAAGGGTTAATGCATTCTATATGAATAAATGAATGTTTAACACAACATAATGGTGATAGAAATGTACACTTATTGGGTAATTTTTTGCCGTTTTTCAATTTTTCATTTTTTTTGGACCTGTGAGTCATTTTCATACATTTTGTTTCCTTTTTGTGTTTTTTGATGATGAATGGTTCATGAATTTACAAGGACACACTAAAACAAAGATTTCATTATATCGTTCGGTCATGATGAAAATTCACTAGTGCAGTGAACTCTGCAGTAGTGAAATCTCTAGTAATGAATCTGGTTTTTGAACTCTCCTAATTACATGGATCTTTGGTAACTTCCTCAACCTTTCAAAACTGATGGTTGGAAGAGACTATGTTCAATATAATTTTATATAAATACATTATATTTAAAAGTGTAAAATTCATTGAATAAATACAAAGTTTCATGCAAATTAGAGTATTTAAAAAAAAATTAAGTCATTTTCCCCTCATATTTAAGTCATTATTAAAGAATTTTTGTCATCAGAATCCAAGCCCTGCTTATGGCACTTTTCTATCAATGAAATGAAATATTTTGATTTATTTCTGTATTGTTGGTAGAGTTAGATTTTTCATTAGCTCCTAAGTAAACAACACAAACTCGCCTTTTATTCTGTTATTTTTTAAAGAAGTCATTAGAAAGGTTAAAAATTGAATTGTTAATAAGTTAAGAATAATTTATACAAATTTTATATGAGACAATCTAAATTGAACATTAAGCAAATCTTATGAAATTTGATTTAATGAAACCATGATTAACTGCTAAATATTTTGTGGTAAAATAAAGAGAAAAATGATGGAAAATCATACCTTTTTCTTTCATATTTTGCAATCATAAAATCCTTGATCTGCTGCTCATCTTTGGAATCTTGCCCATGTGCTGCATCATATAGACCCAACCATATTTGTTTACAGTACTGGAATAAAATTTCAACAATCATCAAAAAAGGTCTTCCAGATTTAAAAAATATAAAAATTAATATTTATTAAAATTCCATTTAGAAATGTAATACTAAAATGCTATTCTAAGCAATCGTAGAAGCCATTAAGTAAATTTAGCATGTAATAAATTCCTTCGAATTTCTCTCACTATCAACATATGAAAGTGAAATGCTACACCAATGATTAGATATAACCATATATGTTTTCAGCAATTTTAGACCCAGCCATATCCGATTACAGTACTGCAATAAAATTACAACCACCATCAAATCATTTTCCCCATTTTGTAGAATGATGCAAAGAACACAAAATAAAAACATGATACAATTATGTTTAGAAATGTGTAAGGAAATAAAAAAAAATCAAGTGTCTCTCATTTCTAGCAAATGGAAGTGAAATGCTACACTTCTGATCAGATACCTAAAGCCTCTCCAATTCTTTTTTATCACTAAACAGTATTTATTGTTATTCTTAAAGCAATATATTTTACTGAGTTGTATGTATCTTTAAAGAAAACGTCTTACATAAAAACATATAATATTACTTCTAGGTTACTTATATGTTGTTATGTACTTATTGCTCAAGGGAATTGATTGACCAGTATGATTAACCTCATCAAGTCCAGCAAAGACATCAAAGTTCACGGATACAATGTGTAGTTGACAGACAAGGATAAATAAATCAGTCACCATATCTTTGTACTGAACTCTTTGAGAACATATGGTATCATTTAAAAAATTCCCATTCTTGATGATCAATAATTTATCGTTAAGAAAGAGAGAAATCTGTATCAGTAGCAAAAGCATATCTGGAATCTCAAGAATTGAATCACTCAATAAATTTTCTGGCAGAGTAACAATCGCTAAATATTAATTATAAAATGTGAAAATGCAAGTGCAACCCCCTCAAAAAATGAGATTTGCACCTCACACAATTAGATACATACTTAAATTGTGGCATAATACAATACATCTAAACAAGTAATGTACTCCTATGCAGTTTTAGTACTACTACAATTAACAATACTATAAAATGTCATGCAGTTTAAAAGGACCACTGAAACAACAAAAGCATGAAACTAATGATTAAAGAACAAAATACAAGATAAAAAGAGTGCAGAAAATTAGAAGTTCCTGTTTAAATGAAATTTCAAGAAACTCGGTGTAATTAACTCCCATTCAACAGTAAACTTTGATTACCTCATTTCCTCTTGCTTTAATCAACTCAACTTCTTCTGGACTAAAACTTGCCATCGAAATGGACTTCACCCTGTGAGGGGGAGTCAAACCTCGCCTGTAAAACCAAATTATAATTATTAAATTTCAAGATTCACAATTTACAGCATCTTTAACAATAATCCTGAAAGTAAACAAAAAAGCACTAACCAAATACTGAAAGCTACACTGACTGACTCGCATATAAATAAAAGCTTGGGAGTGAGATGACCCTTCAAAAAGATAACAATATTTTCAAGATTACAAGATTACAATTGTAGACTTGCATCTCACTAAGCTTCAATTGACACCAAACTTAATTTTCTACTAAATAAATAAATAGAGAAAAAGAAATAAGATGCCCAGGTTTCAAACTTTTACATTATAGAAGATCCTTTCCCCTAAGACACTTCACGCGTAACTGTGTCTTACCATAATTATGTTTATGTTAATGTAATTTGTTTCTTAGTTGCAGAATTGTACCCAAGTACATAATAAAATTTTCATGAATGAAAATAACATTTCAAAACCATGAAAAATACCACTAAAAAAATTGATATTGATTAATTTCCCAATAGTTCTTTGTAGTTGGTACTAACATAGCTTTCTCTTTCAAATCTTTCTTTCAGAACATCTTTTCTGATGAATAACTGCCTATTCCCAACTTTTTTCATTGCTTTTATGTTTTGTTCCCAGCATGGCAAGTTTCCAGAGAATGAAGGATGCAAGCCTACGTTAGAAATTTTTATGCGAATTAAAAATATTATTTTCAAATTGAAAATTATAAGTTTTATCAAAAGTTGAACGAAAACTATAGGACATTTTCCATTATTAGTAACAAAAAAATAACTTCACATTTTAACCTCAAATTTACATTGGTTTTTCACCATTAAACTAAGCCTGATGTCTAAAATGAAGAGAATCCTTACTTGTCCCCCCATGTCTAAATAAGTCACCCACATTTCCTTTTTTTTTTTCCCTCCTTACAGTCACCATATGATAGAATAGACAAACTAATAAATGTGCATAAATCTTTTAGAAAAAGAACATCATAATTTATTTACAAGTACAGATCAACTTGTCTTCATTTTTTCCAAGAATACAATCATTAACAATATAACTTCCTATATTTATTTCTGATAAAATGAAATAATTATATGCCATCGTCATTGCCAACAATATTATTTATTAAAAAAGCAGCTTTCGATGGCTTAGCCATCATCATCAGTTTTCTGCTGTATGGAAGCCACAAAAACGACTACCTCATTTCTGATACCTTATTTCCTTTGATGAATTCATTTTAATAATAATTTAAACTTTTCATAATGAATCAGTTTACATTACGATAATGAATAAACTCTAAGAAACACTACTTGCATCAATAAAAGAATTGCCCATCGGAGTTATTGGGCCAAGTTCCAGTACACTCATAGCATTACAACAAAAACAAACAACCACAAATTCAATTATTTATTGTCTTCACTCAAAAGAATACAATAACGTTCACATAAATTGTACATATCTACAAATATTTCAAACTGACTATGAATATTATCAGGAAAGTAAATCAAATTAAACTAAATTCTAGACATATTCAAAACAGAAATAGAGAGTTTACAACACCACTGGAAACAGAATTGGCAAACTCAAACAGCTTCTTTCCTATCTGGAATATTAATGCTTAGCAAAACCCACTAACTAACAAATAATAACACACAATTATGTTCACATTTTTCTAAAAGTAGAAATAGTTACAGTTCGCCAGACAGCTAATGTCCAGGTAATAAACAATACATCAAATTTCCCAGAAATAACCTAATATTCACACGTGAAATAACTGAAGCAAATTTATTAATAAAAATGTGGAGATGATACTCTGTATCATTTATATTCTATAATATTTTAGGAACCTAAGACAAACTTTGTAATAAACATTACTTTAGATAGTTCTTAACATCTGTTTCCATTCATCACTAGTGATTGCTATCACAATCTGCCTTTTCTAGAATAAAAATTAAAGTGCACAAAGTAAATATTTCATAAAAAAAGAACACATACACAAATTAATTTACAAATATACATTCACACATGATATCAACGAAATGAAAGAACTTGAATGAAAAAACAAGGAGAAAGAGAGGTGAACAGAGAACAATGGTTGCACAACAAAGACCTTCAGAGAAGTGATAAAGAACACAGAGTATTATAACTTGCAGAATAAAGTACTTAGGAAGTAACATTTCAGATGCACACGAACAAACAAATTTGGAAATGAGAATTGTTATAGAAAAATTTCAATATCTTTGTGTAATTTTGAATAGATTTTGGTATGATGAACTACCTCTGAAAATTGTAGAATAGAAGTTAATTTATTTCTTATGGTAAATAAAATTTAACAATCTTGCGCGCTTATATTTAAAACAAAAGGGAAGAATTATGTAGTTCATGCAACAAAATTTCACTTCACTCATCCTGCAACATGTAGGTCACAGGTAAGATGACGAATTAACAATAGATACAGAATGACATTTCTTCCTTGGATAATCAATCTTAAGTCAACGTTGATACATGATAAAGAAAATTAAAATCCAGGTCTAATAGAACGTTTTACACACAAAAATAGTTTACGAAAGTGTCAATTTATACGAAATATTTCACAATGATCCTACGATAGCAAGCACATCAATAATTTTCCATGCAAATCAAAATTGTAAATAAATTGGGAGAAATACGATGGAACAACTCAGTGAAATATCGAAGTGAAACTCAGGTGGTTTCTTTCTCATTCAAGATCTATCAAACTCATCGTGTCATTGAAAGGCCATACAATAACAATAGTACTTACAGCATCCCAGAGCATGACGTGCACACAAACGAACCAATTGTCATATTCACGTAAGTCGGGCCTCTTTGGTGACAGTCGAAACATTGTTTATTAGCCGGTAGAGACACTAATTCTCGTAATATTTTTAGGTGTTTCTCGTCTTGCTTCTTTCTAGCGGTAGCCATATTGTGACTGATCAGCGCCGCGAAGAACTGTGTCGCGAGTCCAACACGCAGAATCAACAATTGAGGATACTGTTACTCATTGAAGAACAAAATTGGGATTATTAATTTTCTTGATAGTTCAGTATATTATATGGTCGAAAATAGGAAAGAGGAAGAATGTCATGCTACAGAGAACAGTTACGATTTCTATTAATTTTCGAGGTTAGCACTCAAGTTCCCCTCTTTTTTCATTTGAGTATTAAGCTGCAGATTAAGCTGGTTATTGGAATATGGCTTATCTTTAAAACATCGATTGATCACTACAAACGAATTTTCTTGACAAGGTCAACCCTGCTTAAAATAAAATCCCCGAAGAAGGGAGGGGGTGGGGGCTTCTGCCGTCAGTTTCGCACAAGCATTTGTTTCTAGTGTCCGACAGGCGACAAGAAGCGCCTACTTTGAACGGCGAAAATAGTCAACGTTTGCAAATACCCGTCGATTTAATATTACTCATACAAATTAAGGAACTTGTCCCTCAGCTAAGTTATTAAATTATATATCTAAAGGTTTTGCTTTTATCTTTTGTACTTCTTGTCTTGCCTTTCACATTACTAATTGTCATTGTCTGTGATGATAAAAAAGGGCTTCTGACCGACTGGATGGCAGAACCATAGCATGATTCACCTTTGACCTGTCTGCTCTCTGTAATCCTGGTGCTGACTCTGAGTTTCCTTTGTAAGTTTAGAGAGAAATAAAACTGACAACTAAATTGTTTTCCTTCACTCATGAGCATTAGACATTGATTTCCACAATTCTTCCTAGCATTGTTTGCAAAGGTATATGTCATCTCTTAAAAAAAATTATTATTATAATATTTCTATTGCTTACAAAGCCAAAAACATCTTCCATTGCTATTTTTAAATTAGTAGTAGCCCCTATCTTTTCTGTGAATGCTTACTCGTTACTTAGAATCTAATTTGCCACTTGAATTCTGACAATTATCAACGCCAAAAGCATAAAAAGAATTAATTTTAAAAAATCCCTTAATGAAATCAATGGCTAATTTAAATAGTTAAATTCAGCTTTCTAGCAAAATATGAAAATTAGTGAAAACTATTAATATATAATTCTTTATATATTTTTAGTGAATCAAATTTTTCAAAAGAAATTAAGATAATCTCTTTATTACACAATATTTCAGGAACCTGTCATGTTCCCATCATCAGGTACAATAAATACAAATCCATATATTACTATAGATTTATATTTTTTAAAATTTATTTTACAGGTAATAATGGTGCTCACTTCTATATTTTAAAATTTTCTTTTTCAAAAGAAAGTTCCTAAAACATTGTGCTATAAAGAAAATATTGTATGAGATTTTCCTAATTTCTTACAAAAAATATGACTGTCTAAAAATATATAAAGGACCACATATCTATAATTATTAATAATAAGACAGTCATATCATAAGAAATTGAAAATCAGTTAACATTATTTTACACCACAACACAATAGTAGGCAAACTATGAAATTTTATTTGAAACTTTCAAATAGTTATATTTCAGTATTTTCTTAATTCCAGCAACTAGTGGAAACCCATGTGATTAAATTGCCCTGGAAGTTTAAAGCCGAATCCTTAGTTGCCTGATTATTAAATTCATCCCGGGACCAGTGTGTCCTGTTCTGTTTTGCTCTGAATCCCCTGCTCTGGCCTTCCTTTTGCTGAATTGGTTCATCCCACTCTGATCGTTACCACTGTCCTCACCGAATGCTGCCTTGCCTGATACTGATACTACTCACCTTACCAGATTGTACATGATGTCAATATTCTAAAAAAAATAATTTTATATTCTTAATGTTTATATAACATACCCAAAAATGTAAACTACATATGCAGACTTCCTGCTTTCAAACACCACCTTATTTTCTGAGATTGATTCATCCGGAAAAGAGATATTTACATAAATTTTAGAAATAATATATACAATAAAACATTAATGAGTGAAAAATATCCTTGCAATTAAAGATAATCAGTTTTGTTTTCTTTCTCAAAGGAAAATTAATATTTTTATTTCTTCAAATATTTCAATATCATGCACAGGTTATGTTTCATGCCCAATTTAATAATTTCTTCAGGTACAATGTAAAATTAATTAACATTTCTTTAAAAAAATGAAGACTATTGGAATTTCCTTCATTGTTGGAAAGCAACAGACATACTTTTCGATAAGAAACACCTCTGATGGAGCCATATCTGGTAGGAAAGTAATTAAGAAAGTGAAGACTGAACCTAAATGAAGTCTTTTCACTCATCATTTAAAGAAGACAAACATAGTTTGTGTTTTTGCTAACAGCCACATCTAGAACAATTATATTTTTAAGAAAAAATTAGCTGAGTTGAATTTTTAAACCTGACTACCAATACATGAATGCCACTTCTAGTTATTCATTCAATATGCCCTTTTGCAAACCATGAATTTATCTTTAAGCTTTTTATTTTATATAAGAGTATTTTGGGAAGTTGTGCACCCATTGCAAACAGATGTATCACCATCTTTACTAAGAATTGCAGCACAATTGTGTCAAGGCCTTCTTTGACAAAAACTCAGTATCTGTCATTTACCTTGCGCAATCTTCATTCAAACTCCACATACAGTGTAAACTAATTAATCTTTAGCAAGACTTGACAAATATTTCAGGTCTAATTTCATAAAGCTTGTCTATATGTTCCCCAAAAATCCCAAAATATTAAACAATTACAACAAAAAAATAATTAAAAATGCATTGTTACAAGTTTCACCTTTTCTATTTTTTTACAATTTGGGGATAATATTATTTTCATCAAAAAATTGGTTGCTTTTTGTGGAACTATTTTTTAAAACTTTATTGAGAACTAATGAAATATTTATCCTGGACACATTTTTTTTTAAAATCATCTTGCCAGCTTCATACAACATGAAAAACTACTTATGCCATATAGATGCACTGCTGTCACTCAAACACAAGATATAGTAAAACACCATTACTGAACATTTTATTACGCCAAGAAAATGTTCACAGTAAATAATCATCCTCAAAATTATTTTGAATAACTATGTTTAAAACTCTCAAATAATTTAATGAACAAAAATGATTTAGTAATTTTATCCTGATTTTCAAATTTATCCAGGTCTGTTGATTCTTGTAAATAGATTTAAAGTGTCATATATAGAGCCTCAGTTAGGCCAGACTTTTGTTATCTTCAAATTGAAAGGCATATTGTGACCACTTTTTTTTTTCATCACCGCAAAAGTGACAAAATAACAAGAACTATTTTTGTATTAACTTATGTTCAACATTGATCTAAATACTTCAGTTTTGGATCATCATAATTTATAATCTTTTTAAAGTGATAATGAAATAATTAATTGAAATTATTTTAAGTAAAATGTTATAAGTATACATCAATCCATACACTATCCAGGAAGTTTTAATTATGATATTCTATGTTAAGTATATTCTTTTTTAAAGAGGAATTCGAAATTTACAAATAATTGTATTTTTTTAAATACACAATAATTAAAGCCAAAATCTAAAATTTTACTTTTTTAAAGATTTTGTCCCAAACACTGACATACTGCTTTTAATTAATAATGTTAACCTCATCAAAAATACTAGAGAATTTACTTCAAGGTTTAATATTGGGGTGTAAAATAAAACAGATCAGTCTTGATAAAATTTATTCAAATGCTCTTGATTACATGAAAAATCTTGTTGTACCTACAGATACACAAGTACTTTTGCTTGGATTATTTGCAGACACCACAACTGTAAACAATGAAAATGGTACAATTGCCTGTGTTGGTAACTGCAATATCATCACAATAAAAGTAAGTCTTAACAGGAACTTAATAGGCTTACTCTACCTACTTCATATTTTGAACACAATTTCCTATCACAAATATATTGTTATTCATTTTAATGCAAACTTCTCAGTAGTCATACAGATTATGTACAGAAAATCTTACAAGCAATATACACAGTTACTGAGGTAGTCTGCATTCGCTTATACAGTTAATGCAGTGAAATAACAACCAAGCATTTTATAATTCAGTGTTCTGTGAGAAAAAGAATGCTCTATGATTAGAGATTACCATGAAGGAAAACCTTTGTCTAAGCTTAGTAGTGTGTAGTCAAAGACAACAACAATAGTTCAATACTTTAGGTCTGATTTGGCTGACAGGAAGCATAAATAGGCCCAGCCTTAGATTTTGCCAAGTCAGTAGCCTTTTTTGCAGCATCTTTCAGGGCTTCTTTCTTTGATTGTGGAGGTTGAAGTGCAGTCGAGTCACCATGTGATATGTTAGGAAACATACCACTTAGAACATAATTAAATCCGTTTACCATCTTCTGGCAGTTTTTACGAAACCTCTCCAAACCAAATGCCTGAATAGGCCTTCCAAATCCAAAAACTTGGGAATCGATCCATGCAGAACGATGAGCCACTGTCCAGTTTCGATTTTCCTCACTGACACGGTAGATGACCTTCTCAACAACACTCTGAAAAGTACAATCAGGTTTTTCACTGGAACATAATACAACAATAAATCAAATAATAACTGAAAATGAATTGTTACAAAGTGCACATATGTGATCCTATTACCTTTTTTTATTATCAATGTACATTTTCTCGAGCCCTCATTTTGCTAGTTGCGAGAGATTGCACAAATTTGTTTATTTCAATGACAATGACTATTATTTCAAATCTTCAGCTTGTTTTTAATCTAAAATAGTTTCTGTTACATGGAACTTAACATTTTTGGTTATCAGTTTTGTCAACAATGCGCATTGCTATCTTTTATCATTAATCCAACTAACGGTGATAAAGGAGTGGAATTAGGGATTCTGGGACATCACAGACTGAGACATGGAATCAAACGGTGCATTTGTGACAATTTAACGATCTTACTGTCATCAGTATTTATATATATATGATTCTATTGGCATTAAGGGTAAAGAACGAGTTCATTCACCTTCATTCTTCATACCGATTGTATCAAATAATTTCAAGTTCAGAAAGTTTAATTCCTTCCTGAATTTCAAACAACTTATTTATTTATAAATAATGAGAAAAAGCAAATTAAAAAAGTAAATGAAAATGAGAAAAAGGAGGAAATTTCTTACCATAACTCTTACATAACCAATGTTTCTTGTGTACGTAACAAGAACTTTTTCCTTGGGATCCACAACAGATTCTTCAACAATTTTTACTGTTCTTGAGCTAACAAACCTTTCTCCCCACTTGGGGACCCTGTTTGTCTTTGTCAAAAGACGCTTTGTGTACAATTTGTTCTCTCTCACTTCGCGAATTATTGTATCTTCTGAAAGGACATGATTGCTGAAAAAGTAAAAAATCAAACTTTAATTCAAAAGACCAATAAAGCTTTACATATTCAGAGGAGTACATTAAGACTGTTCTACCAATTTTCATCATAAAATATATTCTCGGGCACATTTACACCTCGGTACAAACTTACACAAAACAAGATTACCTATCTTCTTCAACAGTGAATCAAGCATGAGAAAATTTAGTTTAATTAGAAAATTCATTCCAGGCATTTGATACATAGGAATGAAAACATTATTATTCTCTTCATCTTATATATGTGTGTGTGCAATAATCACCAGCATATATTACTAGCAATGCAATAATTACTAGTAATACATGTGTAATTATTAGTAATGTAGCATGTAATTACTAATAACTGACAATTTAAAAAATATAATTACTAATATCTGAATTATAACTAAGGTTGCATATTCGCAACTATACGCAACATTACTAATGATCTGACATCATTTTATTTATATACTGGAAATAACTACATAAGTGTATGCAAGTATTCAAATCAAGCATTTACAATTTTTTTTACTCCTGTAACATGAGATACACATGACATGTTCTTCGATGGTGCATTTGTAATTATCGAATGCATAATAGGAAATTGTAATGCATATTATTAATGATATTTTAAAAGTAACAATAGTGAAAACTATTCAATTAACAGAACACATTTCTTAAGAATAGCCAAATAATTTAAAGCATTCAGATAAATGTTTTCACATATTGGGGGATGCAACTTTTTACATGTGAAAAAATTATTCTTTCATCTTTATGTGTAACTACCTCGAATTTCAAGTCAGATAAGTGAATCGAATTTACGTTATCAATTTAAGAATAGAGTCAGTTTTTCACCTTTCTCTGAAGACGGCATTTCAAACACATTTGCAGGATTTCACAATCACAAACTAAAGAACATATAAATAATACATTAGTAACACACTTACCTATGAGGATTTGGATACCGCTTCCAAAAACCTTGGGCTACTTGTTCCCAACTGAAATGGAATACTGTGGAATTTTCAAAATACTTGACCATGTTAGGTTTGGAAATGTTAGAACAACGTGAAATTAAGTTTAATCACTCAGCGAGTCATTAGCGCCTCTAATTCAACTTAATCGACATGCATTTTGCCACGTTCTTTGCTTACTGTAGATATGTGTTCTTACGTTATCAGTAGTCTTAATTAACACCAGGTGAAGATACAAGTTGCTACTAATTACATTCACCATACGTGCACACGCAAAAAAAGAAGAAATTAACACAAGCACTCTCTTCAAGTGAAAATTACCTTGCTCTCAAGTTTTTGTTATATATATAATATAAACACTGAACGCATGTACAACCAACGCATGAGCCAACAATAAATCAAGCGGCCTGCTTGGGTTATAGATTATTTGGGGGAAGGGACACTTTACACGCCGGAGTGGGGAGCAGGCATGTGAGACACTCCCACCTCACTTCAAGGATGAGTGACGCTGACTGACCCACCAATGGCCTGTCACTGGGATTCTCGAGGCCTGCCGAACCTTCTGTTCAAAATCCACAAAGATCAGCGGCAAGCATAGATGATCATTTCCTCCCAAATTACAACCCGTTTAGCATATGTAATTATCATTTATGTCGACTATGAGTTGCCTAAATTCCAAGGTATTATAGCCAATGTACTATCGTATAATTGGTATAAAACAAACCCATAACCCGGACATAACCTAAGCACGTCAATTGAACTTCGATCTCATTGAAAACGTCGACTTTGCAGAGAATCGAGATTCGTGTTTTTTCGAAGGTGCCAATGCAAACGCCATGGCTCGATTAGTTTCGATATCTACTAAGGAACCTGAAAGCGGCGGGAGACGTGACATCAGAGATTGTCAAATGCTGTAGTTATTTTTCCCGGAATATATATAGAACACGTATTTTAAAAATAAATTGTTTATATTGTTCTTGTAGGTGCACGTAAATACTTAACGTATTATGGACAAAATAACGATATATACCCGGAGTATGTTACATATCATGAGACCAATAGTGGACCAGGTTTGTAAATTATTCAAAGGAAGATTATTATGTTAAACTATTTTTAAATATTTTTATTCTTATTGGCCAAATTCTCCAATGTTACAGGTTGAACTCTTTTCCTCATATATTGACAATTCTGGTGGTGAAGAATTTCCAAAACCAGAGGTAGAAGATATTTGCAATCCCTTACTGCAACTTAAAAACCCATGTTTCTCCAAAGATGTTATCCAGCTAAAAGTTTGTCTAAGAGACTTTTATGATGCTGTTGATCTGATGAAGGTGATTATGTACTTATTTCTACAATAAGCTGGTGAAAAGAAATTTTCTTTCTTTTATAATTATAATAATAGAATATGCACACTCATGCATAAAAGAATAATATGCACACTCATGCATATGACGTTAGCTCAATTTTTACACAATTAGTTGGGTCCATGAAATAGTCATTTGAGAACACCTGTTTAGGTGATATCTTGTATACTTCACCACAGAGGTTGCACAGGCAGTTGTCATTTGGTTCATGGAACAGTTTTGTTGCACACACCGTATGGTGAAACCCATCCACTGCAAAACGAGTTATCTGATGCCTTAGTTTTTTATTTCAGCCCATTCAATCTCTATTGGTCATTGCGGGCATGCTATAGAGGTCCTCCCAGATGAGGTTGTGCTTTTATCTTCTTTCTTTCAGGATCTGCTCAGACACTGTAGGGGTAATAAACATTATTAAATCATATTAAGATGGTTTCTTTTGCTGATTTATAAACTAGTCTCGAACGAGTGAATCTTGAAAGTGATAGTAACTTTTTCAAAAATGTTGCCTTTACACTTTCCCATACTTTTAGATCATTTTTAGATTATTTAGATCATTTAGTCCCATAGCTTTAGATTATTTTGCTTGAGATGTTCCCAGAAGACCTCAATTCCATGTACCAGTGCTGGGATGATCTTTGCATTAAAAAGTTGCATCGCTGTGTTTAGGGATAACCGGTTCAGGGTTTTTATTTTGTTCATCGCTCTTAATTACACGGCAGTTCTCTCTTTAACATGTTTACTGATAGTAGTTTCTGAAGTTTGGAAAGTGATCCCATGATATATACACATTTTATTATGTCATGTTCGGTTTTTAAATATTGACTTCATGCAATTTTGCCTTCCTTTGTAAAGATCATTGTGTCCATCTTCTCACCATTTATCTCCAATTTATTTTTAGCAGCCCTTGTGGTCAAGCCATTGACACGTTCTTGTAAGGAGTCAATGCTCTTTGCAGTAATTACCGTATCATCTGCATATGCATATAATGATACTGGTTGTTCTAGACCAAGAATTTTTTGCGAGACATCGATGTAATTATGTTAAATAGCAGAGAACTGAGCCAGTCCCCTTGTCGTACACTATTAGTTTGTGTGATTTTCTTCGACTTCTGTACGTTATCTTCTATGATGACGAAGTTTGCTTTTAGTATGTTGTAGTAGTAGATATACTGTAGTAGATATTTCTCTTCATTCATATTTTCTTCTAGTTTCTGTAATAGTCTTCATCTGTTTATCCCATTAAAAGCTTTGCAATAGTCTATAAATATTGCATAAAGTTTTCTTCCTGGTTCGCGAAGTGCATTCGTGATATTATTCAAGAGTTTCTGTGTTGCATGGATGGTTGAGTGCCCTTTTTGGAAACCTAGGTGATTCTCGAGTGTCTTTTCTTCCATGGTTTTAGTCATTCGCTACATTAGTATTTTTGCGAAGAGTTTGTATGCTATTTTGCAATGCAATGCCTCTGTAGGAGTCTGATGTTACCTTTACCTTTGTACAGAATATTCACTGTGGTATCTTTCCATACTTCTGGGAATTTTCCCATTTCTATGCATTTGTTGAATAGTAATACCCAAGTATCTTTCTGCAAGACTGTGGAGTCTTTTAATTGTTCACTATAAATGTTGTTTGGTCCTTTGGCTTTGTTGTCTTTTAATTCTATTGTTGGCAAGGTGTTGGCTACTTCTCTGCTCGTGATTGGTGGGGAAATCTCTTGTTATTCTATCCTGAGGCTCTTCAAAAGCGCTTAGGTTATTTTGCTTATTGAGAATTAAGTGAAATGGCCTTGCAAGTACTCATGTTTATGTAGTTTGCAAATATGAGTCTCTTTGGTTTCAGTGTGATGTATGGATGTTTAAGAGCTTCTTCAGCAATCCATCTCTCTTCTTCTTCAATATATTCCACTTTCTTTTCCTTAAGGAGGTGTTTGTAGTTAGTTCTTGCTCCCACGTATTCATTTAAAGTATGTGTTTCTGTCTCATCAGTTGTACTTCTGCTTACTTTCAGGCTTCTAGCCTCGTGCACCAGCTTGAGTACACATCTTCTTTCTTTATAACACTCGGCATCAAATCATACTTGTGCTTTCCTGTGGGAGGAATATGGAGTTTGAACTTTATAGATTACCTCCATAATGGGATCAGGCTGCTTCATCTATTTTGCATTGTGTCATGTATTTCTTTGGACTTTGTATCTGATCTGCTGCTCCCAGAAGTGCTTCTTGGTTCAAGATTCTTTTTCTTTGAGGTTCTTCTGCAGTTTTTTCCTTGGTATATTCCCAAGGGATGTTCAGGATGTACATGTACAGGATTATGTTTTCTAATAGGTGTTGTTGCTGATCGTATTATGTTCTAGTGGATTACTTTTATCTCATTGGTAATAAAAATGAAATCTATTGTGCTTTTTCCATGTGATGCAGTATACGTTGCTTCTGATCTTTCATTGAGCATCTACATGGCTGTGTGTGTTTTGTAGTCTAAAAGCAGAATTGTTTCCAGGTTTGATTTGTCAATTCTACGATTAAAGTCTCTTGTTTGTATTATGGGATGAACATTATCTACATGGACTAGGACTTCACCAATGATCTGTATTACGTAATTTGCTGTGCATGTAGGTTAGTATTCTTGAAAATAACCAGTCCAGGAACTAGACGAGAATTTATTGCTCATGAGATGCCTTCAATTGGCCTTTATCTTTCCCCTTGTTGCAAAAGAATGACTGGCATAATACTTTGGGATGGACTGTTCTTTTGTTAGAAATGTCTCTGTTAATGTTTTTATGTCAGTATTAAATATATCTACTGGCATACTTCTTAGTACAGTCAGAAGTCCTTCTACATTCTACAACAGTATGCTGACTGGTATTCTTTGTCCATTGTTACTCTTGCTGCATTATTTGAGTGTTAAACAAGTTCTATTCCTTTCTGTCTATTATTTTCTTTCTTTGTAGAATAGTTAGGGACTTCTCTTCTCTACTTCTCTTGGAAGGGGGTGAATTAGTTGACCATACAAAGAAAAAATCTATTAATTTTTGCTATAGATTTGTGATAGGGTTGAAGTTTTCGTTTTTATTTACATAATGTTTTTAAAAAATGCAATTTAATTTCACAATTATATAATCATTTTTGTTTCAATGAAGAAAACCGTAGTAATTTGAGGTCTCTCAGCTCTTCGGGTGATGCTGCATCGAAGGCAATGATTCCAATGACATGAATTCTCTCAACGCAGCATCATCCGGACAGCCAAGAACCTTCACATGGCATTGAGCACAGAAGCTTACGGATGCACCATAGTAATTTGTTTGCTCAAACCATAATAAATCAGTGTTTGTTGGATAATTGACACTTCTTTGAATATTCACTGAACTATGTCACAAAATTATTTTACAGAATTCACTAGGTCTCCCCCATTTCAACACATGTATGTTTATACTTTTATGGAAAATAAAATTTTAATAACCACATTACAATGGAATTATTGTTATTGCAATGAAAAAAAAAAATTCAGAGCCCCAATTAAGTTGGGCAGGTTTCCTCAGCTGCCTGCCCCTCCCTTCCCCCTCTCCGCCCTTCTGGTCATCTCTGTCCCTCTTCTACATTACTGTTTCAGAACTTGAATCAGTAGACTTATTGTTCAAGTTTAACCTAGAATGCTAGCCCAAAATTATTTTTAAATTTTATATCATTCTTTCTTTTCTGCATTCTTTCTAACCATTTAGGTAGAAAGAGTATTGCACTTTGTTTTGGAAGGAATTACTTTCAAATCAGTTTGTATGTGTCATACTTCTGTGGTTTGACTTTTTTAAAATGAACATCTATTGAAATTTTGGGGCCCAAAATAATGTTGAATTTACAGCTCTTTGTAGCATAATATTGTTTTGCTTTCTTCCCAATGGTTAGGATTCCTGAATTAATGGTAGTTGCATCCTTTATCACAGAGTATTCAGAGACATGCTTTTTAATTCCTTTTCTGTTTTAGCGGCAGAAAATGATTAGCGATAAAATAAGAAATATCATGCAGCAACTTAT